TGCTGTTACAATAATATTCACTTTCAAAGTGCTATTATTCAAAAACTGAGTGGTAAAATGTAAAATGGTTCTGCCAATAAATTATCTATAGATAGTATTCTCAGCTCTATGTTTCCCTAATATGGACACTCGGACATAGACATAAAACAACCTGTAGCTTAATTCGCTTTAATTCTTCTCAACTACCCAATTGAGAATCAGTGCCTGTCTTTCTTCATCTTCTACACTACTGTTCTTCTTCATAGCTTTTTCAGTATTAGAGAGTTCGGAGTTTAACTGGGAAGAATACTTCTCCAGCTTCACTCTCAAAAAGAATTTTTTAATTCCTCTTGCTGCAGGCAGATCCTGTTAACTAACACCACAAAACACCATCAAGATGTTGACAACATATGCTGTGAGGTTTCATCCATTAGAATAGTCAGTCAAATCTGGCAGTCACCAAGGCCCGGAGAAAAATTTGAAGGACTTTATCCTTTTATCCAGGAAGACCAAACAGAGATTTTAAGGCTAGGAGGTATCCTCTCCTTAACTTAAGCTTTTCCCATCTCCACAGATGAAAGGGCTCAATAACAGTCATTTGCCACCCAGCAATTTTTTTTCCCTCTGAAGCTGACTGAATGATCTAATTTATCAGGATTGAGACATTTAACTAGATTTTTTTTTAAATAATTCTGTCTGCCTCTTGTCCCTTGTTTGACTAGAAAGACACTGGTGAAGTCTACCAAGGGCTGTTCCACTACACTGTGCCTTAAAAGACCTCCAGCTAAATACCACTAGGTTCTGCCTTCCTGTTCACTGGTCTGGAATGTGTTCTTGTCTCACCATGATAATTTATCAGTTGTCTATGATATTCATGTTCTACTCACAGCCACTTGTCAGAGCCATAAGTCACCAAGAATGCCTAAAGATCCATCATTCGAGGGTACATGAGAGAATGGTACTTATCCATCTCCCCTAGGGAGAAGCGCCTTGTTACTTCCTACCGAGTGCCCCAAAACAACGTTGTTGTTCACGCAACAGTGCTTAATTTATTCTATATTTGAAGGAATTACAAATATCTAAGGGTCCTTTACAAAACTATCAGTTTCAGCTTGAAATCAGCCATAACAAATTACAAATATCTAATGGTCCTTTACAAAACTGTCAGTTTCAGCTTGAAATCAGCCATAACATTGATTTACAACTAGACCATCACTGAGAAATAGAAAAATAAATAATTTGCCAGCAACTGGAGTAATTTGAGATGTGCCATCCATATGTATACTCACTTTGCTTCCTCCTTTCTAGAGTTATTTCAGAGTGCCTTTTTATCAGTATCAAGCATGCAAGAATTGAAATGGCAGTGAGCACTCTATCCCTAGTGTCTAATTTAAGGACGGGCAAGGCTTCATACTGAGATGAGCAAACTTTCCATATTTACGTGACTGTTCTGATGCAACAATATGCACAGGATAACTGTTTAGTGATAAGTAGCTTCTCTTTATTAAGACCAGCGTTGAGGTACATGCCTAGTTTACTAATATTAGCAATGTCACTGACAATAATGGTATTGTCAGTAGGATCAAATCTGTACATGTTCAATGTTATGTAATTACATATCATATATGCAAATCAGGTTGATTGACCCATGTCACTGGATGTAAGATGAGATAGTTAGAGACTATGCAGTGGAATCATTACCATGTAACAAATGCATACATTTACAGAACCACATTCCACCCTTTTCCCTGCCAAATCTGCCCTTATGTAAATTTTTTCCACCTCTATAGTATGCAGTTTCCACAAGTTTTACTGACTAGGCTGGAGTGAAGCAACTGAGAATTTGATTCTCACTTTAATGTGATTAAGTTTCTTGTGATTTTCTCAGACATCAGGCATAGATTCCATCCTTTCAACGCAGTAACTAAATAGTCCCAGTCTTATTTCAGTTAAACCTTTAATGCCATAAGGATACGTAGGTTGATACAGCTTGTAAACCTTCACTTTTAAAGCAAAGGTAACAAATACCATGAAAATTGCATTTGCTGAGCCATGTCAATTCTTGTCTCCATACTAATTTTTCTGAATATTGGCAATATACATATAATACACGAAATGTAAATACTTACATAAAAAATATGGCAGGCAACTTATCCATCTTATGTAATATATCAACAAATCTTGCAAAATGCTGCCGTTTTTCCTTTCCTGAGCAATCCACAGGTTTGGGCTTAAGGTGCTCCAGTAGCTCAGTCACCTGACCAAAGCAATATTTTTGTGGAGATTTTAATGGCAGAAACTTCTGGCTGGAGGATAACAAATATGAAGACTCCATTTTCTTGTGTCAAATTCTATCAGTTCAAATTTTTGAAATCATTCAGAACTGCAATAGCAGTTACAGTTTACAGGCTAAAAGGTCTGCAAGTTATCAATTGACATTGGCAGGAGCTGAAGTTATCATCACTGTGCAAACAATAAAGTATCATTAACAATGATTATGAAATATGTTCACATTCAAGTGTCATATTTTAAGAACTTTGGGGTTTTTTCCCCTGATAGTCTTTACTTTTTCCTTGTCAAATTCATCACATCTGCATATTCCTTTTTATTACGTAGGAATAGATTGCCTCCAAGAAAGGACTTAATTTTCACCTCATTGCTGTAATTTCTTTATTTTACAGTAGATTGCCTCCAAGAAAGGACTTCATTTTCAGCTCATTGCTGTAATTTCTTTATTTTACATGGGAACATACATAATAATGTCCATGGTTACAATGTGGTTACACAGAAGGTTCCATACGAGCAGAAAAAAAGTGGTAGACTAAAAGAGCAGAGCAAGGGTACAATATTCTCACTAAATGTAGGAGGTGCCTAAAGGAATCATGAATTGTTATGTTACAGCAGTATCAGAAGTCTGATTCCCAGAGATGCTGGTTAAAACATCACCTTGTAAATGCTTATAAAAATGCCACAAATAGTGCTTATCTTTCAAGTAAAGCAGCAGTTAATCTTAATTATGATGATAAAAACTCCCATAATTATATTCCTAGATATAATGACTATTATATTAAAGCTATACACAATCTTTAAAAAATGTCATGTATCAACTGTTACCTTCTGGTTTTGGCCAAGCATAATCCACTCGCTTAGTTCTTTCTTCAGTTCCTGTTCATATTTCCTTGCATCTGCCTTTTTTATAACTACTTTATTCTTGAAAGATACAAACTCCTCAGGCTCTAACTCCTGGAAAACAATATTAATATTTAATGTTATTATAAAGAGTTCTTAATCTATTACTTTGTTAATATAGTACTTCGTTATATATGTTTTGTATACACACCTGTGCCCTTGGCCACTCTTGCCAGACTTTTACCATTGTGTCATAAAGCTGGATGCTCTCTCGTGGAGACAGAGAAAGATCTGAAGGAATACCATAATTCTCAATCTGCAAGTAGTATAAATAAAAGAAAAATAAAGAAATCATTTTGATGGAATTCAGGTTGCCTAAATCTAACAGTTGATAAATAATGTTGATGCCAGTATTGTGCTTACATGACTGACTGTTAATGCAGCAAATGGATGATAATGTTCAATGGTAAAATCACTGTCCTTTAGAGAACACACATACTTTTTCAAATCGTTGTATCTTTCTTCATACAAGACTGTGAAGAGACAAAAATGTTGTCATGTTGCACTTGGCTGTTTGAAAAAGCAGATACTTAATTCTGCAAGATCTGTTGATATTTAAAGGGAAAAAAAACCCAAAAACAAAACCCAAAACAAAATACGCCTAAGGTTACACACCATGATTAAAGTTTTCTCAGCAATCACCCTTGTTGGAGAATGGCTAAGAGAGCAGGACATGATCCTGGGAATGCACCTGGGGAAGGCTAAAAAGAGCAAGGACACAGTCCCCTGGGAACGCACGGACACAGTCCTGGGAACGCACCTGGGAATGCTGTGTGTACAAGCAAGGCTCTGGAGATTGTAACTTATATATAGATAGGGAGTAACTCAGCTTGGCAGAAGGCAACTTAACTTGGCAGATGGCAGGGGTAAGTTGTCCTTGAGGGTGAGACAAACAAGTTTGAGACAAAAAGCTAGGAATGCAGCCAAGCCTGAGAAAGTAAGAGATAATCCTCACAGCTGTAACCACAAGTAGGGAGAGTACCTGAATGCTGTCTTTAGAGCTTAGCCAATTATAAATGATTGATAGTTATATGCCTGTCCTGCACTGTACAAAAAAAGAGCCTGTCGGACAATAAAGTTGAAGCTTGCTTTATCACTCACACTGAGTCGGCCGCTTGCCTCCCCGCACGGAACTTTCCCACACCCTAAAGTTTATTTCTCAGTTGCAAAATATTATGGTACGCACCTAGTCTAACACGATAGGATTTCTTTTGTTCATGCACTTTAGATTTCACTTTACATTTTCTTGTAAAGTTCTTTTCAGAGTTTGTAGGGCTTCCCTCTATTGTATTCTCAGCAAGTTGCCAATACCTTTTCACAGATTGTAACCACCTACAGTGCATAAACAAAATAAAAATAAGCATTGTAAAAATATTTTAAGAAGGTTGGTACAGGTATAATAGATGAATTACTACAATCGACTTAATTTTGCCTTTAAAATTTCCCATCCTTTCTCACCAACTTCAGTGCAACTTTCTCCATCTTATCCCAGGATTTAATTAAAGATGTGAAATAGCACTATTACATATATATATAAATATAGTACAGGTGTCTTCTCTGGCTGATGATGGATAAGTGTGCTTTGGCAAATCAAATAGATGTAAAAGCCTCCTAAATTCATCCACATAGCTCGGTTACAGGGTGTGAAGGACTAAGTACTGTGTGTTCTCATTACAGCTGAAAACTACAGCATTGTTTTGTGTCAGCTGAGGAGTGAAGAGTAGCATAATACATATAACAATATAACTCCAAATTAGTTGTCTATCCAATACTAATTGACCTCTCTATCTAAAATAGCTCATATCCAATTTAAATATCCTCCTGTGGAAAAGAAAATTGCACGCACTCAGTGAGGTGTTCCGGGTTACTGACAGTAGCAGAGAGTGCCAAAAATGGACATCGAATTGTTACCAGAAGATGTTCCCAAACTTCTGCTCCAATTTCACCACCAAGACAATGTACCTGTGTTTTGACGAAAAGGGATTAAAAGAAGAAAAGTTCCTTATCAAAGTGTACCCATAATAGGAGTTGTTACATGTTTTGCAAAAAACAGAAGTTTGGCAAGTTCAGAAAGAAATAATCTTCATGTAGTAGCAAATCACCATGGATCCAAACCAAATGTCCAGTAAAACCCTCTCCAGACTTCACTTGATAGAAAATTAGTCTAAATTTCAATACCCTACATACTCACTGGCATCATTAGCAATTCATTCTATCTACAAGAAAGAATACAGTAGGAATTTTTAATTCAACAAGATTAATCATTGACTTTTTCCCTGGAAAGAGAGACAAATACCCTATTATGTGGAATATGTATGATCCCAGTCTGGAATGTTCAATTGTGTCACTGGGACTACAGTGGTGGCTTTTAGTTTTTCAAGGTATGATCCCAGTCTGTAATGTTCAATTGTGCCACTGGAACTACAGTGGTGGCTTTTAGTTTTTCAATTGACTGGCTTGAGTGAAATAAAGGAAGTTCCTGGTAGTTTTGATTGAATTCTATGTCCCTCTGAGGACTAACAGTTTTAAGTTCTTTCAATGGAGTACATAAACGCTATCAGAAAACAGAAAAAAGCAAGTTTGAAATAACATTTCTGAAAACTATTTTTTTACCAGCAATAATATATGTAATGAAAAAAAAGTAACTGGCATTTTTCCTCAAGTTTTTTCTTATATTTGTTAAATTGGTTACTATTAAAAGATGCCTACCTCATCAAATATAACATATTGTATTCGTTGGGTCCATTTCTGGCAACGAGGAGACAGCATCAAGATTTCTAAACATTGAGGCACTGTCACTAGTATCTAAGAAGAAAGGTTTGCAAAGCATTATTTTCAAGCAAACTGATCAATCAACTGCAAGGAGATTCTATACTTAATAAGCATTTAAATATATATATATGTGATTTCAAGGTAAGCAAGAATGAATACACAATTTGTCACTGCTGTCTTCAAGAAAGGCAAGAACCTACAGGAACCTACAAACTGGTCAGTCTCACCTTCATCCTTGGGAAGGTGATGGAGCAGCTCATCTTGAAAATCATTTTCAATGAAACAAGGGACAAGAAAGCAATCAATAGTATTCAGCATGAATTCACCAAGGGAAAGTCATGCTTCCCCAGCTTCTATGATGAAAAGACTGGCTTGTTAGATGAAGGGATAGCAGTAGATATTGTCTTTCATAGGGCTTTCAACAGCATCTCCCACAAGATCCTCACAGACAAGCTGTTGAAGTATGTGCCAGATGAGCAGATAGTGAATGGATTGAAAAGCTTTTGGAAGGCTGGGCCTAGAGGCTGGTGGTTAGTGATACAAATTCTTCTATCTGAGGCCAGTAACCAGTGTACCCCAAGGATCAACAGTGAATCTGATCCTGTTTAACATCTTCATTAATGACCTAGATGATGGGGAAAAGTATACCCTCAGCCGGTCTATTGATGCCACCAAACTGAGAGGAGTGGCTGACATGCCACAGGGGTGTGCTACCATCCAGATGGACCTAGACAGGCTGGAGAAATGGGCTGACAGGGACCTCATGAATTTCAACAGGGGCCTGTACAAAGTCCTTTACCTGGGGAGCAACAATCCCATATACCAGTGTATGCTTGGAGCTGTCCAACTGGGAAGCAGCTCTTCAGAAAAGGACCTGAGGGTGCCAACAGACACCAAGTTGAACATGAGGCAGCAATGTGTCCTGGTGGCAAAGAAGGCTAATGATTTCCTGGGCTGCATTAGGAGGAGTTTTGCTAGCAAATCAAGGGATGTGATCCTTCCCCTCTATTCAGCACAGATGAGGCCACACCTGGAGACGCACGTCCAGTTCTGGGCTCCTAAGTACAAGTGAGACGAGCCTAGTGGCTTTCTATAATGGAGTGACTACATCAGTGAACAAGGGAAAAGCTACTGATGTGTTCTATTTGGACTTCTGAAAGACATCTGATGTATTCTGGCCACCAAAGGATTTTACTGGCTTTTCTTTTAAGCTACTATTTGGACTTCTGAAAGGCATCTGATGTATTCTGGCAACCAAAGGATTTTACTGGCTTTTCTTTTAACAAGAGAAAGTAATCAACTGCATGTCCCCTAAGGATGAACAAGTAAGGTCGTATGCCACAGACTTAGATACCTAAATTCAGGTATACATAGATTTTTCCTGAACTTTATTTTTAGTAATGGCTCAATTTTTGTAATTAGAATTAACATTTTCAGAAGCCAGATGGAATACAGAAGTAATTAGTATTGTGTGTTAAAAAAACCATAAAAATATACCTGAGAATTCATGACATCATTGCGGTAATCTCGTGTGAACACCCCACACATTACCAATCCATCTGGAAGCTTCTTGGTGAATCGACTGTATACAGTTCCTACCACTTGGTTTACAAGGGCCTTAAATAAAGCAGATCATTAACAAAACTAGAGAGTATATGTATAAAGACATATGATATTCTGAGACACATAAAGGCATTCAATTTTGGCACACATAAATGTACAAGGCTATAATGTAATGTACTATGAAGTCTAGACTGTCAACAATGTAAACTTCAAAAAGTTATGTATTTCATTTTCAATTTTATGTAAATGCTTTCAAAGAAATTTAGCACTGTGTAAAGTGAGTTATACATTACTAATTCTGTACTTTAATTATTTTCAAAGCAGTTAAAAATAGACCACATTCTACTGCATCAACAAGCACTGTAATGATCTCAGAGTCCTTGGGCTGCAGGATTAAAATACATTTCTACATTCAGACTGATATTTAAATACAAAGATAATTTTGATACCCAATCTGAGTACAACTACAAAAATATAAATTTGGTTTTACTTACAGAAAACAATCCATACAGATTGTTCTTGAATAAGAGAATATGTAATTCACTGTCCAAAAATCATGTCACGGAATATTAAAATTAGTTTTGGAAGAAATTGTACCTCAGCACTTCAGTTTGTTTTTTAACTATTAAGATAAAATTCTCACTAAAACATATCCCACTACCTAGAGTTTCATAAATTTTCTTGTGAAGAATCTAATGGTGAACTCAATTAGAAAAATATGACTTGCTTAGTCATTCTTCTTTTCTAGTATTACTTTCATCATGTTGGTAGTCTTGGAACTCTCATCATTTGTCTAACATTCTACTTATAGCACTTCTGTATATATTAATGTTTCTGACTTTAAATTAGTTATACAAATATTCATAGACAAAACATCTATATGAGCTGAAATATTTTGAAGATTTTTTTTAAAACATGCACTTTCTAATACATGCAAATATAAAAATGAATATAGGTATTCCATTTCCAATAAAAATATATAATCAACTAAAATTGTGTCACAAGTTACTCCAAATGATTTCAGAATCAGACTGAGAAATATCAGTCATACATACAGTGTATATAGTAGGATGCAGCCTTACCTTTGTAGGAGCAACATACACAACTACTCCATCATTGCTTGTTTTCAGAACTTTTTCCATGCAATAGTATGATGCATATGTTTTTCCTGAGGAAGTGGGAGCAACAATCACTGCAGATTCATTATTATCTACAGCATCAAGAAGTTCTCGCTAAGAGAAAAGCAGATACTCATGTCAAAATATCTTGTCATTAAGTTCATATTGAGTGCTTTTTCTGTAGACTTCATATACAGATTTTAGACTACAGAAAGTCAGAGTTAATCTAGTTGTTTTATGACTCTATTCTTTCCTCTTAAATTGTTAGTAGAAAAAAATACCCCTATAAATTATAACTTATCTATTTCAATTATTTGGTCTGACAGACAAAATAAGACAATTTCTATTAACTTTATGCAAGACATTTGTGTTTCATTACCTGCCATGTATCTGGTATGAAATGTTGCACTCGGGGATCTGGATCATTTCTCTCTTCTCTGAGCAAGTAATGTTCCATGTATTGTAGCTGAAAGTGAACTGGACCCACTTCAATAGCATACTTGCTTTTATTCTGATCACTTTCTCCTGTCTATAAGGTCAAAAAAAACTCAAGTTGATTTGAAAACTAGAAAGGGATTAAGAAAATGGTACATCTTTTGCTCTGTTGAATTCTGCAAGCTTTGAAAAATATATGAAAGTGCACAGAATCAAAGAATCACCATCATGTCAACTAGACCATGGCACTAAGTGCCACTTCCAGTCTCTCCTTAAACAGGTAATTTTAAAATATTTTCTTGCAGAAATCTACACCATCAAGTCTTATATCAGGGTTACACTCAAAGGAGACTACATTCTAAAGCTATTATGTCTTCCGTAACAGTGTAGGTGTTGTTTTTGTTGTTAGAAGAGCTAAAAAATCTTGCTAGCAGGAAAACTCAGCCTCTTCAAGGTATTTCTTGACAGAGCCTTCTCATTGTATATTTATGTCTCTCTTATTCAGTCTGCCTTGATCCCATGTGCAAAGAATCACAGTTGCAAAAGGAAATTCAGTGTAAAGACTCAGTGTGATCCCAAATTTTGTGAAGCACTGTATTTTTAAACAATGCCTGTATACCATAAGACATAACAAATTTAATGTTCATGGACATGTCTGGCTACAACATCTGATCCTGAAAGCTGTATAGAAAAGTATTACTTGTATAACATATACTAGAAGCTCAGAAAATCACGTAACAACTTAGGTTGTTGAGGTTGGACTTGATGATCTTGTAGGTGTTTTCCAACCTTAAGGATTCTATAGTTCTATGTCTATCTGGATGTCAGGGAATCCAACTCACTGATAGAAACAGGTGCATGTAAGTTGGGTCACTCAGGGCTTTATTCAGCCCAGTTTTTACTGTCTCCAGGGATAGAGATTTCACAACTTCTTTAATTTCTTGAAAGATATATTTTCAGTTATTCCTGAAAATTTCAGTTAGTCCTAAAGTTTATCCAGCTTTGCAGAATTAATAATCATAAACAAGCAGCTGCAAAATCAAAAGTCCAAAATGCACTGACTGATGTGGAACCCTTCTGAGCGAGATGTTTAACTTGCCAACACATCCCTTCTATCATCAAAAACCTTTATAACAAACATTTTGAGAGCCTCAGATCCTTAAATTCTACTACCTAAAATGTAATATACCTTATTTGGGGCACCAAACACCTTTACAATAATGGTGTAGCCAAGAAAAGTAAACAACTTATACCATTTGAATTCACATAGAAAAAGAGACAAATAATTTCCACTCTTCAAGAGAAGGAAATTTCTTACAAATCATTCACTTTCTCTTTCACCTCTTGGTACTGAACCTCAAGGAAAGATGATAAACAGTTTTCATAAATAAGGTTCCAAAGATACCTAACTGTACTGTGTCTGAAAATCAAGACACTGAAGAGAATGATACTGGTTTTAGAGTTGGCTGTAACCTTCCTTCCTCTTGCTGTTGACTTCATATACTGCAGGCTGAGTTACATACTCTCTCTTCTGCTTGAGAGCCACATAAAGGCATCAAATGGCTTTATTAAATCAGCCAGTGGACACATTGCTAACATGCAGAAAAACATGAGGTTGATCCTTGAAGAAATTACTTCAGAGCCAAATTCAATGTAGCTACTGGTGGTCTCAGCTGTACTATAACAAGTAATTCAGTATCAGAAACTGTTTCCTTCAGAAGTGATCAAGAATACCGTAACAGCAAACAGACCAGTTTTCATCCACCTCTGCAATCTCAAAAGATTTCCTTTTCTAAAGTAGCACATTTTATCCTGTTACATAGCAGTTGCTTAATACTTAGCTTTTAACAGTAAATTTTAACATGCAGAGTTCAGCTGATATGATGGATTGAAGTCCAGGTACCTCTCAGGCATGTCTAAGGCCTCAGAGAGACATAACTAAAGCAAATTTATCTTGATGTGTGTTTTAAAAGGTATATTTGCAGCCATATAAAGTTCTGTTTACTTAAGGAAAAGTGGTTTATTTTTCCAGCTAATCCTCACATCAAGCAGAGAAATGCATCCATGAACTTAAAGAATATAAATATCTGAAGGCAGAATAGACAGTTCCAACTGTTTTGGCACAATGCAAAATAAAATAAGCTCAGTATTGAGGTCCTACACACTATCCAATGCTTAAGAAAACTCTGTTGATATTCAGCTACAGATTGAGCTAGAGGTGCTTAAGAAAACTCTACTGATATTCAGCTACAGATTGAGCTAGAGCAGAGTTATTACAGTCAATAAAGTTACCTGGCCAGAAAGAGAGTGTGCCAAATTCTCAAATCCAAGGAGCTTTAGATATTTGGTCAGCTTTTGTAGATGTGGTTCCTCCAAGAGATCTTGATATTTTTCAAGGAGGATATGAATTCTCCTCATGACGTGAACAGCTTTGCTTAAATCTTTAGATTTCTTACCTTCAAAAAATAAAAAGCCTACTGTTATTTGAGAGCTGATGATATCATTGAGAGTCATCTGATATTAGGTATTTTTAGAACAGACTTTAGCCATCCAACCACATTTATGGCAATTAAGAAATTAGTTTTATAGCCAACTAGACAAAGACAACCCACACTCTTTTCACCTCTACAAGGAATGCCACTGAAGGCCAAGCACCCAAATAATTCTATCTGCTTCTGCACGCTCAGCTCTAAAAAAGAAAGCTGTACTTCTGACATCCGCGCAATAACCAAGCTCCCCCATTTCACTTTCCTGATGAACAAATTTGTTACTCAGTCTTACTAGCAATATATTTTACTCCAGTGTTTACAACTCAACACATTTAGAGTAGTGTGTATTTGGTCTCTCATGGCTGAGGGTATGGACCAAATGAGTTAATTCTGGTGAAACAGGAGGCCACTAACCATGGTAGCACATATTTCTCTGCAAATCCTCATTATTCAGAGTGTGAGCTAACCACTTCAGGCAATTAAAAAATCCACTGCAATATAGATAGTAAAATATATCTATAATGCAACATAATTATGAAGTATATGTAAAATTCAATAAATTATTTATGCATGCAATGTTTACAAGCAACACAGGACAACAGCTACAATCTGATTTCATTGGATACTTAACATCTGACTCAAAGAATCTTGAAATTGCAACAGGCAACCAGACCCAATTATTAATTTAAAAACACCTTTCTTCGTCCTGAAACAGAGTTGTATTTACATGTCTTTATTACAACTGAGACTGTCCAAAGTCACTCACTGTCTTGGTTAAAGGGAGTGGAAGTCGTATACTGAACATGAATTTGGCTATCATACCTTGCTCTTTGCAGTGTTCCTTCCACACTTGTAAACAGGCAGACAGTGCTGTCATTTCTATGCTGAACTTCACAGACTTGTTTTTAAAGGTCTTGAGAAGCTTCTCCAATTTATTTATTCCAACAGTCGGATTTTCTTTTATTTTCTTTTCAGTTGCCATTTGTAGGGCTTTCCATTGCTCTTGTTCTTTCTGTTCTTCCTTAGCTTTTAGTCGCCTGCTGTTTTCCTCTGCAATTATTTCTGCTTTACTTTTCTATCCAATAAAATGAAGATATTTAGAACTAAACATCACTCTGTCCAAGCATCATCTAAAGAAAGATGATCCGTAAGCTCCATCACAGCAGGCATGTTATAGTTTTCAACTAATCTGTGTGGTGCATTGTGTTTTAGGAGTAGTTTAAAATAGCACCTCATTTTGAAGGGGGCATCATTATGGAATCCAAATATATGTTGTTCAAAAGAGCTTCCCTAAGCTTCACTTTAAGTCAGTATAAAGCTTCACAAGTAGTATAAAAAAGCACAAATGTGGAAAAATATAATAGCAAATGTCTGAAAGTTACATTTCAAGTTTTTATTTTATATATGGATAATATTAACTCTGATCATATTAGGATAATTTTAAATAAGTTAGATAAAATTAAGAGTTCAAACTTATTTGAAGTTAAACTTATTTTATATACAGATTTCTAAAGGTAATTCAACAAGCCATAACTTGTAATCCATACTACAGGCTATTATGAAATACTGCTCAAATTACTATTGCTCAGTATTGTTCATAAATAGGCAAGTACATGCTACCCTGGGATGTCTGACAATGTTCACAGTTAGGATTAATTGCAATATTGACAGGATCTTTCACTGAGAATGTTTCCAAACAGTGCAGAGAAATAAGTAACTGAATAATGCTTTTTCCAGTATTTCTCAATGATTTCTTGAAGTAAAAATAAATTCATGAAATCTAGTTTCCCTCACTCCACATTATAACACTGGTCCTGAGCCAAAACCTCTCAACCTTTACAGAGTTCATATTAATTATTTTTTTTATACTTATGCCTGTTAAAATATAATCACTCTTCAGTATTCTTAGCTAGGAGCAAAAATACATTTGCCAATTAGCTAATTAGATTTTAAGTACGAAGACAAAGTATATTTCTTCAAAGGGAACTACTAGTGCATTCAGAATATAAACCTTTAGCTACGGGACTCATATAGTAGAAATCCTTTCCTGGATAGTAGAAAAGAAATATTTGGAAAGAGCAACCAGAATATACTCACATGCTTTTTTTGTGCCTTTTTGACAGGAGCATTAGCATTCCATGACACATCCTCCTGACATACAATAAGTTTTGACGTGCTGTCTTCCAAAGTGCTTCCATAAAAGCGCTGAAAAGTCTGTAATTTTTGTATTTGCTTTCTTTCTTTTGGATCTTTGGATTTTGCTGCAAACGAATGTAATTTATTTTAAAATGGTCTAATAGAATTCCAGACAAATCCGTTACCAGGAAAAGATAAATGGGTAATGGATAAATTTCCTATAAACTCCTCATTGATCTAAAGGCCAAAATCACATTTTGAAAGAGTCTAGCTACTAAGACTCACTGAAATCCAACAGTACCCTGAACCTCCTGAGAGACAGGCAAGAGACCCAAATTGAAACTATTTTAGACGCATATTAAAATAATGGAAAACTTAAAAAGCAGGATGCCTGGAAAAAAAATTAAAATTGTTTGAGAAAAATGTCTAGGCTTCTCACACAGTCCATGAAAATAGGAAGATGTCTTCTGAAGGCAATTCAGATGATCAGAAAGAGAACTTTCCCCAAGAAAACAAGAGTCTGCCATCAGCACATAAACAAAGCTGCTGGAACAACACTTATGCTAGGCAATGGAAGATGCTGAACTGAGCACGTGAATATTTCCACACTCAAGCATCTATACTTCTCTGCCCAAAAATCAAAACCATGATTCTGCTTCTAACTATGAAGACCCATCTCAGAGTACTCAAGCAAGGCATGGGAGAGAGAAAGCCCTTTCTTCAGCA